GGTTGGGGGCTGAGCTCTAAAGCAGAAAGAGATTTCTGTTGTCCCATGGTCTTTACCCCAAAGTCCTCCTACAGGGAGTGACCTGTAATACAGACAGGAAAGATCTCCCCCTTGAAGCATCTGAAACTGAAGGGGACCTAAAACTTATTAAAGTTGCAACCCAGCCCAGACCCAGCTCAACTCCTGATTGGATTGAAGAGATCTATACCTCACTTCAACGATCAGAACAAAGGAAAAGACTTGTGCATCTGGAGGTAATTATTATTTACTCCAGTTTTCTAGAGTTCTTTTAAAATCAATGTCTGCCATACAACACAAAGTTAGGAGATTTGTAAAGGAAAATAAAAATGTGACCTATGAACAACTGATTGATTGTGCTTCAATATTAGCAGACACACAAATATTGGTGATTAGCAGACACTAATACAGACACACGAATATAGATGGCACAGATGTTGACATTAAGAGACAAAACTTTCAAATAATAATAAATATGTTAAGGAAATTAGAGGAAAGTGGATAAGAAGATGAATAATGCCAACATAGAAGTAGAATCTCTCAAAAGCACTGATTGGACGTTCTTGATATGAAAAAACACAAAGTCAGATTTGAAGCATTCATTGGATGGACTTAGCAGACTAGACACACAGAAGAAAGGAAGAGTGAGCCAGAAGACAGGGCAATAGAAATCTAAGCTGAAGCACAGAAAATGGGTGGGGAAAAAGGCAANTTGGATGGACTTAGCAGACTAGACACACAGAAGAAAGGAAGAGTGAGCCAGAAGACAGGGCAATAGAAATCTAAGCTGAAACGCAGAAAATGGGTGAGGAAAAAAGCAGAGTCAATTGTGAGGAATATTTGGGACAAATGGCCCAACAGTCATGTTTCTGGAGTTCCAGAGAAAGAGAAGAGAGAGAATAGGATGGAAGAAATATTTGAAGAGAAGATGGATAAGAATATGCCAAAANATATTTGGGACAAATGGCCCAACAGTCATGTTTCTGGAGTTCCAGAGAAAAGAGAGAGAATAGGATGGAAGAAATATTTGAAGAGAAAATGGATAAGAATATGTCAAAATTGCCTGGCTGGCGTGGCTCAGCGGTTGAGCATCGACCTGGGATCCAGGAGATAGCGGTTGGATTCCTGGTCAGGGCACATGCCCAGGTTTTGGGCTCGATCCCCAGTTGGGGGTATGCAGGAGGCAGCTGATCAGTGACTCTCATCATTGATGTTTCTCTCTCTCTCTCACCTCCCTCTCTCTGAAATCAATAAAGATATATTAAAAATAATAAAGATTAAAAAAAAGAATATGCCAAAATTGGTGAAAGATTCTAGAATCTCAGTAAACCAAAAGCAGAATAAATGAAAGAAAACTACAATCTAGGCATATCATACTTAAACTGCTAAAAACAAAAGATAAAGAGAAAATGTTTAAAGCAGCTACAGAAGAAAAACATTATAGTTAGAAGAACATCAATAAGAATTTTAATTGATTCCTTATCAGTATCGAGTCCAGAAGACAATGGAATGACATCTTTAAAAGCGTTTTACAAACAACAAAAAAACTGTCATNATCGAGTCCAGAAGACAATGGAATGACATCTTTAAAAGCGTTTTACAAACAAAAAAACTGTCAGCCTAAATTTCTATGCCCAGTGAACATATTCATTAAAAGTAAAAATGAATTAAAGACTTATTGGAAAGAAACCTGAAGGAATTGGTTGCCAGCAGACTCACAGTCTAAGAAAGGGTAAGGAAAGAGAAGAAATGTTATAGGAAGTTCTCAAAGCTTAATGGAAGTGACCTGTTAGGGGTACACGGACGTGACGGAAGGAATAAAGAGCACAAGAAAGACGGCTTATTAAGTTTTAAAAAGATTTTTAACTTTTAAAAAAAACTAACTATTGTGGAATATAGACATGTGAAGAAGCAACCTTGTCACCATAGCNAAAAACTAACTATTGTGGAATATAGACATGTGAAGAAGCAACATTGTCACCATAGTAATATGAAGAGGAAAGAGAATTAGACTCTTGATATTTACATTGTTATGAAATTGTAAACTAGTAATTCAAGGTAGACAGTAATCAGTTACAGATCTCTAGTAATCATTAAAATACAATATAATTTATTCCTTAAAAGGTAATTGAGGAAAACACAATAATAAAATGTATTTTTAAAATGCCACTTGGAATTTATGGTAATTACCATGAACTTAAAATCTAATCTTAAACCTAATGGTGTTTCCAAAAAAAAAAAGTCACTATGTAATACAGTTGCATTCTGTTTTTCGTGTAATGTTTTCCTGGTATTGTTTTGAAATTTAAAAAATACAAACAGCTGATGAAGCTTAAGGTCTGTTTATCCTAATATGGTGAGGTATGCAGCTACACATTAAGGCTCATCGAAGTGTTGCATGAGCCTGAGGATCACAATTATGCGATGCTTCAAGAATGGAAGGTCATGGTCCCTACTCCACCCTGCGACGAAGGGGGAAATATTTGGATTCCTCACTAAAAAAGAGAGCGAGCTTCTAAATGTGCTTATCCCAAAAATGCTGTCTATTTTGCCAAAAAAGAATAGTTGATCATTGCAATTCAAGCATACTTTAGGTGGATTGTGTCAGACAAAACCAGTGTGTTACTCAGACGTTCATGATCTGTGTTTCACATCTGATCCCCCTGCCCTCAGCAGTTTTATGATGTTGTTTTCTCTGAGATTCATCAGGATACCCTTCGCATGAGTAAGAAACTATATACTGTAACTAAAATTGTCATTATTAGCCCTAAATGTATCTGCGCCTTATCTTCTAAGATTTACTTATTTCAAATCTGTCACTTCTTCAAACATTTGCAGTACATGGGTACATCTGCATTTTGCTTAATTTCAGAGATAAATTATGCTATTCCATGCAGCCATTAAGATGACATCTTTGTATTGGAGTAGAAAATATGTCTATGACTTTTTTTTGAGTGGGGAAAAGAAAGCAGCATGTAGAGCAATATTGATATGATATAGATGGGAGGAGAATTTCTGCTTTATACAATTGTATATAATTTAAACTTTTACACTTATTAATATACTGTATTATAACTTTTTAAAACATTGTCCATGTCTGCTGTTAAGACTGTGTATTTATTCAAGTCAAGCATATTAATTTTTTTAAAGAAAGAAACCTAAAAATTCAAGAACAAGAGAGACTTTGGGGCATCTATAAACTTTTTCTGAATATGGTACATGAAGGGCAGTAGGCTGTATGAGCACTCATAATTGATTACAGTTGTATAAGAAGCAAGTATTTATATACTATNCACTCATAATTGATTACAGTTGTATGAGAAGTAAGTATTTATATACTAGAGCTCTATGAATTTGTTAGCAGCCTTTAGTATTAGTCTTGTTGCAAAAGGGAAAGGCTTAAATGCCTAAGAATAATAAAGAGCTGTAACTGCCTTGGTACCTATGTCGATTCCATCTGTTTTTCACTCACCGGAATGTGTCTTGTCAAACTATAATTTAGTGAAAAACTTTTATCACCTAATTATAAAACAAAGCAGTGTAAAATTGTTTTTATCACACAGCACAACATATACAATAAAAGAGGATATTTCATATTTTCCTGAAATGCTTTGATTTTTAAAAGTAAATTGACTACCTTGCTCCAGTTAATGTTCAAAACTAGAATGCCTTTCAGCCTGGAACCATGAAAGGATCAATGATAAAATTCCAGAAATGTTTATAAGGGTGATTTAGAAATCTAGGATTCCTAGAGGTATGGACAATATGAGCAAATGGATGTTTTTCTTATCTCCCTTTCTTTTTGTACCTTCGTGAATATCAGTGTGCTTTACATATGCTGATGTCATACTTCCCCATCCTAATAAAGGATTTTCCATTGAATGTTATAGATTATTTTCTCTCACTTTCTCATTATCTCAAAAACTAACTTAAAAATGTTTTTTCAATTAAAAAAATATGATAAAATACACATCAGATAAAATTTACCATCTTAACCATTTTAAGCAGGTATTAAGTATTAAGCACATATTAAGTATTAAGTACATTTACGTTGTTGCACAGCCATCTCCACCATCCAGGTCCAGAACTCATATCATCTTGAGAAAATAAAACTCAGTACTCATTAAACAACTACCCATTCCCTCCTCCACCCAGCCCCTAGAAACTACTTTCTGTCTCTGAATTTGACTACCCTTGGTTCCTCATGTGAGCGGAATCGTTCAGTGTTTGTCTTCTTATGCCCGGCTTATTTCACTTAGCATAATATCTTCATGTTTCATCCATGTGTAGCATATATCAGAATTCCTTTCATTTTTAAGGCTGAATACTATTTCATTGTATGTATTATGTACCATATTTTGTTTATCCATTCATTGGTTGACAGATATTTGTTTTGTTTCTATGAACATGGTTGTATAAAAATCTTTTTGAGACCCTTCTTTCAATTCTTTGGGGTATTTACCCAGAAGTAGAATTGCAGGATCATACGTTCAATCTTTTAAGGAACATCAGTACTGTTTTCTGCAACAGCTGTACCATTTTACATTCCTACCAGTGATGCACAAGGGGTCCAGTTTCTCCACATTCTCATCAACATTTGTTGTTTTCTGTGTTTTGTGGGGGTTTTGTGTGTGTGTGGCAACCCTAATGGGTGTGAGCTGCCAGCTTTTTACACCTCTGTCATCATCTTAGCTACTTTACAGAGACAGACTATAAATGTTTTGACTAATACAAATAACCTCCTACCCTGTGAGTGTGTGAAATTATAAAAGTGCTTTTGTGGTAAGTCCTAAATGGCCACAGAGTCATTATGAATTATAGAGAGTAAACAAAAGGGCCACCCCTGAGTGGAGATTATCCTCTCAAACCCCTCTCACCCACACTAGCTTCATTTCTCCATGGATTTTAAACCTAAATTGGAGTTTGTGATTTAGGAAATAGAAGACACAAATTTTAATTCACAAATATTATTCTATCCTCAGAAAATCCATTCCTCGCTGCAGAAGAATTAACAGGATGCTGTCCAATGAATCCCTACATTCTCCTGCTTTCAACCGCTCCAACTCACAGGCCTCCGTAGACAGCGCCTCCATGGAGGACTTCTGGAGGGAAACAGAAAGTATGAAAGAGAACAGCATGGGAGGGCAGGAAGAGCAGGCGCCAGCTGAGGTCAAGCCTGTGGATGGTAAGGTGCAAGATTCCTTTTTCTGTGTGTGGACTTACTTTTTGTGCTCTCTCTTGTTCTGTCAGCAGGTAGAACTCATCCCATTAGTAGTTTAACAAGTGAATTTAGTAGAATTCAGCATATCAGCTACCTGTTCCCACTGGTTTATATCTACTGGACTGGCTCAGGGTGGCTTCTATGCAAAGTGTTATGACCTGAAGGAGGGGTGTCCACAAAGTTCAAATCGATCCCTTACATATCGCTGCTTAGGATGCTGTGCCTATCATGATTCATTATGATCTATCAGACTAAGTGTTCTAACTTTGATGGCCTTTATCTCTGTATACTTGACTATTAATTAGAGAGAGAGAGAGAGAAATGGAAGAAATTGCCAGTATAATTTTAAAGAAAAAAGTCTTTGACTTTGAAGCATTTACTGTTATTAATGTATTTAAAGAATCTATTCTTTTGTATCACCCAAAATAAAAGCCATATAAAATATACTAGCTTAGTAAAACTAAACAGAGGAAGGCTGAGAACCAAAATAAAAAATAATAAAAGAGTATAATTGTCTTTAGTTTTCAAAGGGGGCAAAGTTACTCTAGGTCCTACCTATCAACAAATAAATACATTAGACATCCAAGAAAGACTGAAGGTAGTTCAGTTAGAAAGTATACAGGTATTCCCATAAGAATGTTTTTATTAGGCAATAATATATATATCTCACATATCTCTCTCACATATATACACATCTACACATATATGTGTATACATATCACATATATACACATCTATATATATATGTATACACACACCCCTACACATATATGTATATGTCATGTACTTATATGTATTTATACAATGTGTATGTAGATGTATNCATATATGTATATGTCATGTACTTATATGTATTTATACAATGTGTATGTATATGTATTCCATACATATACATATTTATATCTATATGTCTTTAATTAAATACATTGAAATATATGAGTTCACAGCTATACCTTCAATTTTAATATAAGACCATTAGGTTCATTGTACTTTTCTCCCTTAACATATTTGAGACTTCCTTCTTAGTGAGAAAATTCGCTTCCATTATCTTAAATATATATACTTGTTTATACTTATTTGATCCATCCCTCTGTACATTACCAATTTTTCTTTACCTTTCAAGGTTGCCCTTCTCATCTCAGGCTCCAACATCCCTAGCTTACTCCTCTACATAGACACCTGCCTTGCTCTGTTCCAACTAATGGCTTTAGTCTTTAGGACTTAATTTAAGAAGAGAAAGTGGCCTTCCGTCTTTTAAAGAAATTAATATCCACATACTTAACATTTCTACTACTTCTTTTTTTATATANACACATATATGTATATGTCATGTACTTATATGTATTTATACAATGTGTATGTAGATGTATTCCATTATCATCTCATGTCTTTTCCTTTATCCTAAAAAGAGCTTTCTTTAGCATATCTTACAGAGCAAGTTGGCTGGTGATAAAATCTCTTGATTTTTATTTGCCTGAAAATGACTTTATACCACTTTCGTTCTTAAAGGGTATTTTTGTTGTTGTTAATCCCCACCCAAAAATATTTTTCCATTGACTTTTTTTTTAGAGAGAGAGTGGAAGAAAGGGAGGGAGGGAGAGAGAGAGAGAAATATCAATGTGAGAGAGGCACATTGATTGGCTGCCTCCCGCACATGCCCTGACTGGGGCCNGAGAGAGAGAAATATCAATGTGAGAGAGGCACATTGATTGGTTGCCTCCCGCACACGCCCTGACTGGGGCTGGGCATCGAACCTGCAACCCAGGTACGTGCCCTTAACTGGGAATCCTACTCACAGCCCTTCGGTGCATGGCCCACACTCTAACCACTGAGCCATATCAGCCAGGGGTTGAAGGGTATTTTTGCTGGATAGCTAATTATTGTTTGACAGGGTTTTTTTCCTTTCAGGATTTTAAAGATGATATCTTACTGTCTTTTGACCTCCATTGTTTCTCCTTCATTGATAAGGAGTCAGTCAATGTATTCATATTGTTTTTCCCTGTATGTAATGTATTGTCTTTGCATTCAAATTTTCTTTCTATCTTAGGTTTTCTATTAGTTAGACTTTAAGATGCCTAAGTGCACTTTCTTTTGTTTTTGCCTACTTTCTGAACTAGTTGGTTTTCAGCATATTTTGGAAACTTTTGGATATTATTTCTTTAAATATTTTTTTCTGCACTATTCTCTCTCTTCTCTGAAACTTCAGCTACACATATATTACACAACTTAACATTTCCCTAAGGTTGCTGGGGTATGTTTAAAAATATTTTTCTATTTTTCACATAGGATAACTTCTATTGATTATTTCAAGTTTACTGGCCCTGTCTTTTAAGGTCTCTAATACACTGTTGAGCCCTATCAGCAAATTTTTTATTTAATATATGTTAATTTCCAGTTCTATAATCTAAATTTTAGTTTTTTTAGTTTTTATATTTTTCATTTTCTGCTGACATTTTCTGTACATTCATCACGAGCATCTTTTCCTTTATGGCTGCTTTAAAGCCCTTGTCCAACATCAATCACCTCAGAGTCACTTTCTGTTGACTACCTTTTCTCTTGATAAATTAATACATTTTTTCTTTGGATTATATCCTAGATACATTGTAACATTTTTGATAATGTAATGATATGGTGACATTATTAATATGTTTTAGAGACTGTATTCCATTATCTTTCTCTAAAGGGGGTCAACTTTAGGTCTAGCAGTTAACTTGACCAGGCTCATCTCCCCATGTCTGTCTTCCCTGCTCTATGCAGCATCTGTAATCTCGATTGTTCCTTCAGGCTTCTTGCTGCTATTTTCAGTAGCTTGATGTCTCTCATACACCTTTTTAGTTTAAGGTTCAGTCAAGGATTTGGTTAGAGTTTATGCATAGATTTTGAAGCTTTTTCCTGTGTGGCTTTCTTTACAGGGATATATCTCTCACTTTCCAGCTGTTCTGGTAATCCCATGCTTTATCCTCTGACTTCTCAAATAACTAAGACTCGTTTCTATTTGAGTTCTAGCCACACAATACTGTAGGAGTTGGAAAATGGCCTCAATTGTAAAGTTGTATAAATGTGAATCTCACCCAGGGCATTCGCTTTTATCAAAGTTTGTTTTCGTTTCCTGTCTGCTCTTGGTTCCTCTCCATTACCTTCAAATAGTTATTTTTATGTACTTAGTTCAAAGTTCATAATTGTACACGGGACTGTTATTTCTATACAGGTTACGGTACCTCTTCTGAAAGATTTTATTCCCTTGTTCCCCAACAAACTTACTAAGGTGGTGGATTAGTAAAGAGTGGTACAGAATTAGTACAACTTAGGTTCACCTTTGCATTTTCTGTTATGAAGCAAATGAGCAGTAAAAACAAGGAAGTAACTGAAGGATTTGCCTAGCTAAGAAATGGGAACTGTGAAGCACATTCGAGGGTTTTGTTCACATACCGATGATGCAATAATGTAAGCATAGTCTGACTCCTAGGCTGACATTTTGACAGGCTACTTACATGGCAGTCCAATCTGCTCCTCAGACAAAACGTCATTCAGGAATGCCTGTTCAGCATAGCTCCCAGAATTTATGTGGAGTGGATTTTCTGTTAAAGATGTTGTTATTCTGGATTCTTTATTATTTCTGTACCTCTCATTTACAGTAGCAACTGTTCTTATTATGACTAATTTTACATTTTTAATTGCCTTATGAAAAATGGAAAGATTACCTAATGTTTAGAATAAGGAGAAAAGTAAGAAAACAAGTATCTATTGAACATATACTCTGCTCCAGGTTTTTTGTCATTGTCATAACTACACTGATGAAACAATCCTCATAAGCCACATAAAAAGGCTGTGATTTCCTCCATTTTGCCAAGAGATATCTTAAAACTTTCAAAGCCATTCATCTAGTAAATGATTGCATTGGGATTTGAACCTGCCTTCGAGTAATTGAAAGCCTTTTTGGATGCTATTAAACCCCTCTTTTCCTATTATGGTTTTAGCTTAAATATTCCAATTTTCTCATTTTTTGAATTGATAGTCCAGATATAGCATATATTTAACTGTCTGACAAGGGAAAAAACCTTGCCCAATCTGCCAGTCAACCTTACTATACTAGAAAATACTTAAAAATTAGATTATTTAAAAAATACAATACAGACTTTTATTTTAATAGGCCTTTTCCATAGTTTGAAAAAGAGGTCAGTCTTAATCTATTGAATACTGTATTGATATTTCTCATTCACTGATATGCACGGACCTACAGATATGCGTGTCATCCAGCCAGCCAGAGAGAGCTCTAACCTCCTCTTGGTCATGTTATTTCACAGAAGGAGAACTTGAAGCAGAGTGGTTGCAAGATGTGGGTTTATCAACCCTGATCTCAGGTGATGAAGAGGAGGATGGCAAAGCCTTGCTCTCCACATTGACTCGAACCCAGGCAGCTGCGGTGAAAAAGAGATATAATACTTACACTCAAACCATGAGAAAAAAGAACAAGCAGTCTGTCAGGGATGTCAGAGACATCTTTGGAGTCAGCGAATCTCCTGTAAGTAATGAAGGTCGCTCAAAAGGTTTGGTTTGGTTGGGGGTGGAGGAGATGGAGAGGAACATGCAAAAAGCATCACTCTCTAGGTGTTAGAGAAAACTGAAGCAGACAGCACAGTCCACAATTTTACAGATTTGAAACTTAAGCTGTCATTCCTTATCTTCCATTCAGCAGTCTCCCTCAACACTAAATTCATTCCTTTCTTCTTTGAAGTTGTAGAATAACTTTTTGGCAATGGGGCAGGTCTTTGTGGATTGGATACACAAAGGCTTTACTTAAATCTGTTGAATGGAAACAGGTATAGGAGTCCTGGGAAAGTGGCCCCAGGATTATAAGCAAGTCTGGGTGGTTTGTTTTAAATGGGGACAGGGGTGGGAGAGTGAGTAGGGTAGCCTTTATGGTCAAATAAGTTAAAAAGGTAAAAAAATTGATAGGAGCATTAATTACGTAAGAGAGAGAATGATTCATAAAAAGCATAGGGGAAGCATCACATGCTTTATGAGGAATGGCTGGTTGAAATTCCAGCTTACCCTGAGCGGTGCCATGCCACACTTTTACCTCTCAGGCTGTTAGTCATGTTCTCTTAATTCTGTTTGTTTTACTCTAAGCTCTGCCTTACAACTCATTCATTCATTCATTGCATCATTGCAGCGTTGTATTGAATCATTGCATCATTGGTGTAACAAATACTTATTGGACACATTATCTGTGCAAGGTCCTATATTAGGTTCTATGAAGATAGGATTCTTGGAACTTTGAGTGTAATTAGTATGTAGATAAAAGGAAACTTGATATTCTGCTGAAGTTACAAGTTTAGTTGCAAGGGGCAAGTCAGTTAATCAATCTGATTTAGGCTTTTCATCTGTTTAATTGTAATATCAATAATGACTTAAGTTAAAACACCAAGGATATTGGCTAGCAAGCAGAGCTGAAGAGTTTCCATTTGAGTTACTTTAGGTTGTCTGTAAGTCATATCTTCTCTTAGATATATTAATCACATTGAGTAGTTGCCAGGGCAGCTCACGCATACTTAGTTAACCTTTGCATTTTTGCTAATAATGTCCTAGAATAGCACTATCCTCTAGAACTTGCTACAGTGATAGAAATGCTCTATTTCTGCGTTGTCCAATAATGGTAGGCACAGACGCTTGTGGCTCTAGCATTTGATATATTGCTGGTGTGAATAAGGAACTCAAATTTTAATTTTATTAAATCTTAATTCATTTAAATTTAAGTAGTTACATGTGGCCTGTAGCTAATGAATTGAATAGCACATTTCTAGAATCTTCTGCCGTATATAATGATATACCTAGGAGTAAGTGCGCTTTGAGTTCTGTGCTCTTTGAACTTTCAAACTACTTGAAACCTGTCTTTCTGGATGGTGAGATTTCCTACAGCTGTAATTAATAAATAAAGGTGATGCTCACAACCACAAGGGCTCCAGCCACAGGTTCCTGTCTATCAAGGTGTCAATCAAGGAGAAGGTTGACCCTGCTGGTTTAAATTCCCTGGGTCATTTTTCCGTTATCCCCCAGATCATGTTGAGAGTCTTGAGAACTCGGGCTACAACCTTTCTTTCCCACTTCTACTTCCAGCTACTTCAGACCACGGTTGTCACTCTTCCCTAGCAAACCACAAAATCGAGCAGGGCCTATAGGCGCCTCCCAGATCCTCCAGTTACTAAAGAAAATGCGTGACTAACCTGTTTAGGGTCCCTAAAACTTTGGACATCTAGTAACAGAAACAGGGAGGGAAAGAGATATTTTTGGGCTCCTCCCTCTTTTACTTCGATCCTGAAGGAAAACATAAAGTGGGCACTTACCCATTGGAGCTTTAAGTTTAAAAAGAAATGAAGGGTCTTTTNCGCATGAACGAGCTCTCAGATTGCAAGAGCCCACTTAATAGTGACCAGGATGAATTTTTCAAAAAAGGTGAAACAGTTTTAAGTTCCAGGTTCCAATGATAAATATAAAATTTAAAAAACTTCCCCATCTGCATATAAAGAAATGAAATTGATACAGACATTGCTGCAATGATACAAGAGAGAAGGTAATGGACAAATATCTTCAAAATTCTGAGGGAAAATGATTTTGAGCATGGGCTTCTATGTGCATAAAATTAAGAAAACAACTAGTATAATCTATGTATCTATCTGTCAAATCATTGAGTTTATACCTAAAATTTCCCATTTCACTTCCTTAATGAAGATTTAACATCATAATTTTCATAAGGTAATTTTGCATTAATCTTACACATATGAATTTGACCCAGCAGACTTTCAGATATAAACTCAATGATTTGACAGATAGATACATAGATTATACTAGTTGTTTTCTTAATTTTATGCACATAGAAGCCCATGCTCAAAATCATTTTCCCTCAGAATTTTGAAGATATTTGTCCATTACCTTCTCTCTTGTATCATTGCAGCAATGTCTGTATCAATTTCATTTCTTTATATGCAGATGGGGAAGTTTTTTAAATTTTATATTTATCATTGGAACCTGGAACTTAAAACTGTTTCACCTTTTTTGAAAAATTCATCCTGGTCACTATTAAGTGGGCTCTTGCAATCTGAGAGCTCGTTCATGCGTCAGTCTTCTACATATTTTCTTCTAACATTTAAAACAAGTATTCATTCCGTTCATTTTCTCAGTTATCTCCTTCTGGAATTTTGTTAGATGGTTGCTGTATTGTTTGGATTGAACTTCTGTTTTTTTAAATGCTCTCATATAGTCCAAGCTTTGTCTGTGTGTATGTTTGGTCTGCATTTTTGGATATCCCTTCAATTTCACTTTTTATATTAGTAATTTGCCATGGTTGTATTAATACTTCTTTCATTTATTTAAAAATTTTTGTCAGTCATATTGTTAATTTGCCAGAGACTCTCCTTACCCCTGACTTCCCCCTTTTTTCAGCCATCTGTCCTTGTTTCCTGGCTGCAGTAACCTGTCAGTACTCTGAAGGTACTAAATTTAACCTTAAAGTCCAGGGTTCTTTTATTTTCCTTAACTTATCTGTTTGCTTCAGGCTTAAGAGTTTCTTTTGGCATCATTGTTTTCTTTTCCTTTGCTATCCAATTGATTTTGATCCTGGGTGTTGACTCATGCTTATTAAAGGACTAGAGGACTAGATTGATTAGTATGGGGAATGGCTGTATATTTCCTGTGCACTTATGTAGACCTGTTTTCTCCCCAAAACTCCCCTGTGAATAGGAGTCTGGGCCCCTGTGAGTGATGACATGTGTCAGTGTCAACTATCACACTTCACTTTAAGAATTATCAATATTACATATATGCCAAAGTAACAAGAGTTCTGCAGAATCCTAATTAATTTTCATATCAGGCAAACCTAACTTCCCTTTTTATACTCCTGTCCACGTCCTTTAGAAGGCTCCAGTGAAGTGCAATTCAACTTTCTTTTTGTCCAGGACCACACACATGCTAGGACAGTCACCATCCCCAGGGCAAGTGGTTGCTTTGTCCCAAGAGGACTTCTTGGGTTTTATCCTGTAATCACATTTAGCTGTTATCTATTGTTCATTGTTGTTCAGAAAAACATTCTTTAATTACTTTGTTCATTGTTTTCTAAATTGGTGGATGCTTTTGTGCTCTCTTTTTTTTTTTTTCATTCTTGATAACGTGCTTTTTTTTCTGGATCAGAATTTACCTTCTACACATTTTTCTCTCGTACCTTTTTTCAGGCTGAGGTTTTCCTCTATCCTTACCACACCATTCTTGCTTTTTATCTCCTAGGAACATTCAACAATTCCTCTTCTGCTAATGAAAATGTTTAGTGGTTTCTAGATCTACTCTTTGAAAAAGGTCTCTCTCTTGACACTTTGAGTGATTTGTAGGGGGAGGAAAAAATGGTGTATGTATTTTGCTATCTTGATCCAATTTTCTTATGCTAATTCTTCAGGAGCATTTGTTCCTTTCCAAAAATTTCCCCCCCCCCCCCTTATTCTAAAGTAATACATAATCTTTACTGGAAACTTAGAAAATATAGACAAGCAAGGTAAAAAATGACTATTTCTATGGGCCCAAATAAAATTTTATGATTTCATTAAATATCTAGTAAATTTTCTTTTTTTTAATGGAGTTCTTACCATAAGGGATAGAATAGTTAACCCTTGTTTTAGTAGAGCCATTATACACTAAATTGCAAATATTAAATCAGCCTCTGTGTACATAACACAGTGTCTATAGTTTTGTTCATTGTGAATAGAATTCCAGGGCCCAGGTACATTTTAATAATATGCAGAAGGTGTGAACCAAATATTTCTTTCAATAACACATTTAATTGAGCAAAATAGTCTAATTTATTTCCACTTTCATAACTGATAAATAACTATTACAGGTGGTAATGACTTATTATTGACAGTATAAGTGTGGTCATAGATTCTGTTTCTAAAAATGTGACCATATCACTAATATATACATTTGACTACATGTAACAGAAAGCCCAAGAAATCATGAGCTGTACAAATACAGACTTGTTTTTCTCTCTTTAAGAAGCTAAAGGTAGGTGTTACTTTTTCTGAGCATTGATCCAGTCCAGCTTCCTTCTAAGTTTCTATTTTGCCTTTCATATGTCGGCTTCACCCTTTTGCTTACAAGTTGGTTTGGCCACTTCAGGCACCATGTTCATGTTCCTGACAGTTCCTGGAACTTGTACCGACGGCTTCTGTCCCTCTGACCTTACTTTCCTGGAAATCTGATGAGGTAGAATTCCATTTACCACCTGTTGTCCAGAACTGTTACATGATCATCTTTAGTTGCAAGGGAACCTGGGAAATAATTTTTTTTTAGCTGGACACAAAAGTTCCTGGAAAAAAAAATCAGAATTCTTTAAAGGGAGATAAGTGCCTAGGTTAGGAGTAGGCAGTTGACAGTATCTGGTCTCCACAGAGACTGGTGCCTGTCATCATCCTGGCAAGTATTGGCTGATAAATGGCTAAATGCAACGATCAGCGCAAGGCAGTCATATGTATTATAGCT